CGTGACTCCGAACAACCTTCGATCACCAACGTTAATATCTCGTTACTACCCTAGCGATACCGAAAGTTAAGCGTGCGACCCCACGGGTTCGAGAATCATGTAGACATGGCCGAGACACCTCTCCGATCAATAACCGATAGCGGGACCTGGATGCCCATATTGGTTCCTACATATTCCACAAAGATCATTATCGGTTACCCGATGTCGATGATTCCGTTAATCCCGTATGCTACTTCTTTGTCCGGCGATATGTTACTTACCCGAGATTCGATCGTCGGTATTTTCATACCTAGTTCAATCTCGTTACCAACAAGTCTCTTTACTCGTTCCGTAATACAAGATTCCGAGACTAAACTCATTAGCCACATGAAGCATCTTTTGATGTTGTATTACTGAGGGGGGCCCATAGATATGTCTCCATCACATGGAGTGACAAATTCCAGTCTCGATCCATGCAACCCAATAGACAACTTCGGAGATACCTGTAGAGCACCTTTATGATCACCCAGTTATGAAGTTATGTTTGATAGCACACAAAGTATTCCTCCAGTATCCGGGAGTGGCACGATCTCATGGTCTAAGGAACTGACACTTGACATGAAGAAAGTTGTAGCAAATAACTAAATGATTTGATGCTAATCCTACGGTTGGGTTTGTCCATCACATCATTCTCCTAATGATGTGATCCCATTATCAAATAACAACTCATGTCTATGGTTAGAAAACCTTAACCATTTTGCTAGTCTAGTAGAGGCTTACTAGGGACACGGTGTAGTTTATGTATTCACAAATGTATTTAAGTTTCCGGTCAATACAATTCTAGCATGTATAATAAACATTTATCATGAACGGCAAATATGATATTAACCATTTTATTATTGCCTCTAGGGCATATTTCCAATAAGTTTCGCCCATTGATAGCTTGTAAGGCTTTGTTTGGTAGCTAGGGAAGACAACCCGGGGTTGTAAACCACGAGAGGGAAATTTCAACAGTACACGGGCTTGCACGGGGGAGTTCTCCTGTTTTGGATGGTCATTTGGTGGTCTGGTAGGGAGGGTGGGGCTGGGGTATGCTCCAGGCGAGAGGAGTCGCAACTTCACGAGGAGGAGTTGCAACTCGCAGCGTAGCGAGGGAGATGACAGGGGGAGATTTTCCATGAGTGTAGGGGCGTTGAACTTCTACCCCGGTGAAAGAGGAGGGTTTGGGCTGGCCCGCTCCATAGATTGGGTCATCCAAATGTGGCGCTGGTTCTCCCTAGCTAGAGACTCCACGTGGCTATTAGGCACTGAAAAAAAGGTCGGGATCCCCGGGGGAAACCCTGCAACCAAATGAGCTCTAAATGACATGCTTTGCCCACCAATCCTAATGGAAATGATGGGAAACTTAGGTCGCCGTTTCAAGAAAAAAAGATGTGTAATGAGCATTGTATTTTTATTCAAAAAAGCGAAATGGATCTCCAGTTGCAGGGAGGTGTTTTTTTTCTTAAGAACACAAACATTATGTTGAGACCTAAAGCGACTCCGAACAAAAATTGTGCACACACCTTATAGATATGTAGCATGTGTGTGTGTGGATTTTCATCAATATAACTCTTCTGTTTGTAGAGTACACAACAAGTCAACAAAGACAAAGACTTGGATAAACTGAAACAGTTCTTTTTTAGAGCTACGTACTAATTTGTTACTTTCTGTATAGCCTACAAGTCAACGTTGTATTTTTTCAAGAAAACTTCTGATCTATTCATGATTGTCAAAGTAGTACAAATAACACTTGATGTAAAAATTATATCCAGGTTTGTATACTATCAAGCTAGGATTAAAAGCACTCGAGCGAGCCGAAGACGTGCCCCCATCATCGCCTCCTCTTCCCTCATCGGAGTCAGACAAACATTGTTGTAGTAAACAGTCAGAAAGTCATCGCGAAAGGCCCTATAAAACCAGCGCACCAGAACAACAACCGCCGCTGATGAAGTGAATCGTATTCAAAAGGATCCAACCAGCAGGCGCACATACGTAGAGGACCAAAGATCAAATCCAAACAGACCGACCTAAGACAAACGTCAACCGGATCCCGTGATATCCTCCGGAGACACGCTTCCACACGCCCTCCGACGACGCTAGAAGCATATTTAGGAAGCAACTGCCGTTTCGTCTTTCTGAGCATGGCAAAAATCCTAAAAGACACCTAAAAACAGATCGCTCCCGCCGGCAAAAGCCAAGATGCACCATGCCTCGATGGCCCAAACTCCAAAGACCATAGGAGACAAGGCGGATCGGCGGTGGCCCCGGCGAGAGGCGGGGAAACTGGGAAACCCTAGCTGAGCGCCTTGGTCACAAGTCAATGTTTTATATTATTTAAAAAAATGTTACAGATATACAGTACGCATATGTACGTGTCCTTTTCGGGGAAAAAAGTACGAATATACCGAGCACCAAGGTGCTCGGGCGCCGTACGCATCCCGTGAAAGCAAAGCGCGACCGCGATCGATAGAGGATGTGCATTGCATATTCGTCTGGTGATCACTCTCTACGTACTGTACTTGCTTTTGACTAAACACATCCGGAAACTGTTGTGCCACGCGATTGGTCGTCGGCCGACTTCAAAACCGCCACCGTGCTTGCTTTGAATCCGATCGAAACCAATGTAACTGTCACACGGCGACGTGTCAACTCGGGGCTCTTTGACTAGGGCGCACACGCTGGCCTTGACTACGTGGCATCTTATGCCAAGTTAGGATACGATTGGAGTACGCGTTGTGGAATGTTTGACGCCCTCGCAAAAAAGAAATAAAAATTTAAGTTTTTTTTGAGAAATAATAAAAATTTAAGTTAGCTGCAGTGACACTGCACTGTGACGTCGAGGACTTTGTTATACTAGCTGGGCTCCCCCTTTTAGTTAAGAGTGGTTTTAACTTTTAAGGGCTCCCACCAAGGTAGATCCAACGTGCATATATGTGCGTGGTGGCACCGTAGCCACCTTGCATTGTAGAGTGGTATCTCACCCGATCCTACGTCTCTTGGTTGTGTGCATCTTGTGATGGAGAGGCCAGGGTATATTCCCCTTTCCGGAAAAAGAAATTGCATCTCTTAAAACACCTGCATGGCGGTGACATTTTATGACCATCAATTTCTTTGCATACACATCAACAACAAAATATTTGTTATATGACATAAAAATACCTCAGTGGGATTGGTGGGTCCCCTTTGATGGCCCTGTATATAGGTCGTCAAGCTTAGAAATGCTCTCACACAAGAACATTTGGATCGAAACTACTGCCGCCGTTCGGGTTTATTAGTCCCATCGTATTTTAGATAGAAAATTACTAGCAAAATGTTAATGCATGTCAAAATAATTATATTATTGGATTCGCATTTGAATGTGCATAGTTTACAATGATATTATGTTTACTATGTTTATTTATATTTTATTAATTAAAGTCATGATCAAAATATGACCCAAAATACGAGAGGGACTAATAAACCCGGGCGGAGGTAGTAGCAACTATCTGATGTTGGATAGGTCATCGGCCGAGCCAAAACCTAGCTCGGGTCACTGGCCTGGTTGTCACAAATGCACAAACCTCAATAAATAGTAAATAAGGTCCACGATACAATAATACCTTGTCTACATCGTTTACCAGAAACATGCGAAAATAATAAGCAAAGTATACTTAGTATCATATACACATGTATGTAAGTTACGTTACGTTTGAGAATTGAGTTTAAAAGGTAATTAATATCCTATAAATATACTATTTTCTTAAGATCGACTTAAGTTACGTTTGAGAATTATGAGGGTGAATTCGGGTCAAATGGCGATTTTGTCACATCCATCAATATTGAATTTTGTTCTTTTATTTATCAATAAAGTATTTCATAGCCCCTAGAACTATCATGGAAATTATTTCTAGGTCATGGTACTATGAAATGTAACATTTGAGTCAAACCGCGGGAAAGGTTAGCTAGGTACTTGCAAAATTTTGAATCAAAACTGGCGGGAAAGGTTAGCGCCAAAACCACCTGCCATACGCTGCATGGATCGAACTGCGAGCTATGCATTATCAAAGGTTCTCGTGTGTACTTTGGGGATATGAGGGCGACTTAGGATTGAGTAGCAAAATTTTCCTGTCCATTGATATTGATTTTAGTACATTATTATTGAAGTGAAGTACATTAGTTTGCTACACAACATCGGATCTTGATCCAAAGGTTGCGGAGCCCCTCGAACAGCCACACCTTGTGTTGCCCATCAGCATCGGTCGAACCACCGCCCCTACCACCGGTGACCGACGGGCGCCGCCATGCATCGCCCTGCCCTGCTTGAATCGCCACCCCAGCTCTCGGGCTATCCTCTAAACCCCACCGTTTTCCAGTCGGCGACCACCCCCGCACCCTAACCGCGCAAGCCTTGGCCACACTCCTGGCCCCCTCCCCCCTCACCCACCTTGTGTCGGCGCACGCAGCCAGCTGTATTGTTGCCGGTGCCGGCTCGTTCCTGGCGAGACTTCGCCGAGGACGTCAGGGCTTCGCTCGAATTCGATTAATGTGTCCAAAAATATAGGTGACTCTCATTATCAATCGGTAGGTTCAAACACATGTACACATGTCACAGTACAGTGTGTAACTGTTTATTATGCAGTGTACCAAAATTGTCAAGCACTCTACTGTACTATACGTAGCTGCTTAGTGTGCATGTCACGATCCCTTTTAAGATCCAAGTGGTTTGTCACGTTTGATAGGTAAGCACCGAATGGTGAGCCATCTCAAAAACAAAGGTAAGCACTTTACCGTGTATCAACTTAAGTAACTTGCGAATCCTGAACTGCACTTTAGTCCTTGCCAAGTTGCCATCCACCCTCGACGAACAGTGACCAACAGTTGTAAGGCAGTTCAACCATCACACGTAACCAACAGTCAAACCCAACAGCTGCGAGCCCTGCCGCACGTGCACGAAGTGGCACGCACGGCTACATATAGCACCACACGGAACAGTGCAACACATGTCACAGACTCACAGTTCACCATTTTACCTCCTCGAGTTCACCATGGAGATCAGCACGAGCGTGGCAAGGTGCACTCGCATGCCGTGCAGCCTCCAAGCCCTCGTGCCCACGAAGGCGAGGCAGACGCGGCGCCTGACGTGCAAGGCAACCGGCGGCCGCGTCGACCGCCGCGACGTGCTCCTCGGCCTCGGCAGCGCCGCGGCGGCCGGGCTGGGCGCGCAGCGGGGCCGAGGGGCGATTGCCGCGCCCATCCAGGCCCCGGACCTCGGCAACTGCAACCCGCCCGACCTCCCGAACACGGCGCCTGACACCAACTGCTGCCCGACGTCCGGCACCGGCATCATCGACTTCGTGCTGCCGCCGGCCTCCTCGGCGCCGCTCCGCGTGCGCCCGGCCGCGCACCTGGCGGACGCGGAGTACCTGGCCAAGTACGAGCGGGCCGTGGCGCTCATGAAGCAGCTGCCCGCCGACGACCCGCGCAGCTTCGAGCAGCAGTGGCGCGTGCACTGCGCCTACTGCGACGGCGCCTACGACCAGGTCGGCTTCCCGGACCTGGAGATCCAGGTGCACAACTGCTGGCTCTTCTTCCCATGGCACAGGTACGTAACGTACACCACATAATAAATACGCGTTGTTTACACATAACACATGCATGCATCTCCATTTTTGTCAGCTTAGTAATTGCCTAATTGGTCGTCGCGGGTGTGCAGTAAGCATGACTGCATGAGTACGTGTGGGCACCTTTCGTACAGTGCGCCAGCTGAACGTGCCGTAACTTGTCACAATGTTTGACTTTTTTTGGTGCTGCGTGTGTACGTGCAGGTTCTACCTCTACTTCCACGAGCGGATCCTCGGCAAGCTCATCGGCGACGACACCTTCGCGCTGCCCTTCTGGAACTGGGACGCGCCGGACGGCATGACGCTGCCGGCGATCTACGCCAACAGGTCGTCGCCGCTCTACAACGAGAGGCGCAACCCCGCCCACCAGCCGCCGTTCCCGGTCGACCTCGACTTCAACGAGATAGATGTCATCATCCCAACAGACGAGCAGATCGACCAGAACCTCAACATCATGTACCGCCAGATGGTGTCGGGTGCCAAGAAGACTCGGCTGTTCATGGGGCAGCCGTACCGCGCCGGCGACCAGCCGGACCCTGGCGCGGGCTCCGTGGAGAACGTGCCGCACGGCACGATGCACACCTGGACGGGCGACCCGGCGCAACCCAACAACGAGGACATGGGCAACTTCTACTCGGCGGCGCGCGACCCCATCTTCTTCGCGCACCACGGCAACATCGACCGCCTCTGGCACGTCTGGCGCGGCCTCCGCCCCGGCAACGCCGACTTCACCGACACTGACTGGCTTGACACCGCCTTCCTCTTCTACGACGAGGAGGCCCGCCCCGTGCGCGTCCGCGTCCGCGACTGCCTCGACCCGGCCGCCATGGGGTACGCGTACCAGGGCGTCGGCCTGCCGTGGCTGAAAGCCAAGCCGGCCAAGAGATCCCGCAGGACGCCGGCGCCCGCCGCGGGCGCGCTCCCGGCGACGCTGAGGGAGACCGTGCGGGTGACGGTGACAAGGCCCCAGGTGTCGAGGAGCGACAAGGAGAAGGAGGAGGCGGAGGAGGTGCTGATCGTCGAGGGGATCCAGGTCGCCGACCACTTCAAGTTCGTCAAGTTCGACGTGCTGGTGAACGCGCCCGAGAGCGGAGGCGATGCCGCGTCGGGGTACTGCGCCGGCAGCGTCGCGATGACGCCGCACATGGTCCGGACGAACAAGAAGAAGGGCTCCGTGAAGACGGTGGCGAGGTTCGGCGTCTGCGACCTCATGGACAACATCGGGGCAGACGGCGACAAGACGGTGGTCGTGTCGCTTGTGCCCAGGTGCGGCGGCGAGCTGGTCACCATCGGCGGCGTCAGCATCGGCTATACCAAGTGAAGCACCGCCACCGTATATACCGTGTGGTGTATATCTAAACAAGTCGCTCATGAGCGATCGTTGCGTGCTTTACGTCACGTATGTCTAGCGTATATTGCACCGTATGTTACGTGCATCTACTGTGCTTATATTGCAGCGTATGTCTAGCGTATTCTAATAAGAACAATTGGAACGGTGCACTTTATTGTCCTTACTTCATATATAGTACTCATGTTACAAGTACATTAATCCCACTATTTTCTTAAAGTTCCTGCAAAAAAATGCATCTGTGACATTGCCCGTAAAAATAGATTTTATTTTAGGCAAGCCAGTGAAATTAGATGTGCGGGTTAGAAGAGAGAGGATTTTCTAACGGAGCCAGTTTCTACCGATGTCCTGCTAGCTTGAAGTGCGCTTTGTGTGTACGTACACATATCACATATGAAGTATTTGATTCATTTCTTGATTATATATGTGATTTCTTCTTTTTTGTTGGGACCCACACACTGTTTAGGAGCAGGACCTTATTGCAATCAAAACATTTTGTTCTTTTAACCCACGGTCCATCCATCCATGCCTTTAGTATCCTCAGTCTCGTGCTTCAGGATTTGCCGTCCTTCCACGTCATCGACAATCTTTTGGCATTTCTGAAGAACACGTTCTGCGCTGGCGGCTTGGCATTCTCAGCCTCCAAGTCAGATCTCATCCACGACCATGAGGAGAGCACCGACTATGAGTTCTCTTCCAAGGGAAAGGAGCCCGCGTGTCACAACAGGGAGACACCCATGATGTCTTTGCATGTGGCTCTTTCAAGGGGGGGATTAAGAACTCAAGATCACCTCGGATGACATGTCTTAGAGTAACTCTAGCAGACCCCGCAAAACGCTGGTCCATAAAACGTGTTTGCAGTTCGCGCAAAACAGTTTTTGCGGGCCGGCGCGGGCTGGCACAGATGCAGACCCTGCAAACGGATCTGTAAAAAAATTTATTCGCGGAATATGCTTTTTTACGGGTCGGCTATGCGGGTTCTGCTCGAACACCACCGTGATGACCCACAAACAGATAAACTGCAAATCTCGCATTTGACATAGGATTTCACAAACAAGTTCAAATTCAAATGACACAAACAATTTTACGCGAAATAGAAGCCAAGTTCATTACGGCTAACGCAAAAGAGGGCCCTGCAAAAGGTTTGCGCCCATGTCCGGCATCATCTTAATCGATCTTCACTCCGCGCCATCGAGTCCACCTTGGAGTTCATTGGCGCCTCCGAATCCACCTCCGGCGCTTGTTCCAACTCCCGCACCGAAATTATCCACATTGCCACCATATGCAGCGGAGAAAATATCAACGAAACTGTAGCACGAATTGGCCGACACCACCATTCTTCTCTTCAAGATTTCCCTCCTTGCCATATCTTGCCATGTGTTGGTGAGGTCGTCCATGTCATTGCGATTCATTGACACGATCTTGTTCTCTTCGGCGAGCAACATGGACATTGATTTGTTTTTGGCGGCTCGTGCTCTTCTCTCCTCGATGGCAGCTTTGCGCATCCCCTCTTCCTTGAGCAACTGCCACTTTTCTTGCTTCTCCTTCGCCTTCTTCTCAGCCAACTCTTTCTTGATCTCCAACGATTTCAACAACATCAACTCGTTGGATTGCAACATGGCATCAATCTTCTCCCTCAAGCTTGATACTTGTTGCTCTCTCTTCATCTTCTCCTTGGTCTCCTTGTCATCATCGGGCTTGTGCAAATTTCTTGGGCCATCATCATCCTCATCTTCATCCATGTTTGTAAGTGAGCCTCTCTTTGGTGGGGATTCTTTGTCGATCAACTTCCACTTCTCGCACTTTTGGAGCAACTCCCAACAATGCTCTAGTTTGAAAATTTTGCCTTCCGAAGCTTCCATGTCCTTGTATCTATGTTGAGCAATGTTTTCCTACACAATCTGAACAAAGTGATCCAATCACTTCTCATGATGCAATATGATGATGCACAATTTGAACAAAGGCAAAACAAACTCACATGGTCGGACTCCACGGTGCCACTTGGAGGTGCATTGCGTACTTGCTCCAAGCAAGCTGCCCAACGGCTGCACATAGGCTTGATATTCTCCCAACGCCCTTGAAGCGACCGAAATGTGCGTGGACCTCTATTGGGATACTTTGCCATAATGCGAAAGTATTGATCTTCGATCCTTTGCCAATATCTCTTGGAAGTTTGAGATGTACCCGTGCATGCATCAAGAGACACCGCACTCCATGCTTGAATCAAAGCTTGATCTTCCAAGATCGTGTAGTTCTTCGATCTTATGCTTTTCCTAGTTTTTGCTTGCGATTGCTCAAACACTTCTGCTTCGATCTCCTCCAATTCGTCCGCACAACCATGATCATCCATGCCGGCCTTCGTTTCATTGTACTCGAATGGTTCGAAAAGGGCTTGATCAATGTCAATCGCGTTCGTGTCCAACAAGTTCATGAACTCGGTTGTTCCATTGTTCGAACCACCGCTGTAGTGAACGATAATAAGTCACGCTCTATCGAGAATAATGGTGAAAAATGAAAGGGAATCGCCAAGACCGAAGGCGCATACCTTCCGGCCATTTCGTCGAACACCTCGCTTGCAGGGGGAGCGGCACCGTTGAATGGCGCCGGAGCACCTCCTTGCGGTGGGATGGAGCGAGAGGTTGAAGAAGGTGGCTTCTTTGAAGCCGGAACCTTCCTTCGCTTTACGCCCGCGACCTTGCCGACCTTCGCCGCCGGCCGGGATCGCGCTGCCGTGTTGGCGCCTGGAGCGCGGGCCATCGCGGCGGGGGCAGTCGGATTCCCGCCCTGCACGACAACATTGCCCTGCCGCTTGTGTGCAGGCGCGGCTTAGGCTTGGGCGACGGCGGCGGGGCCAACTTGGCCGGCGACGAGATCCGCCCGAGCGGAAGGGGCGTGGTCGACCTCGACGGTGACGGGGGATAGTAGGGGGTCGTCCATGGCGGCGATGGACGGCCGGGGAAGAGCAGCCGGAGCTTGCAGAGTGGGGGAAATGGTGGAGGAGGGTGCGGGGAGCGGGAAGGGCCGCGTGGAAATGTCCCTCCCACCAAATATCGCGCGGGATAGGGGTTGAGCTCGGGTCGGCCTCCCAGCCCGTGAAGATAGAGGTTGGGGGAGAAGAGTTTCCGCCCCCGCAAAAAAAATTGCGGGCCGGGGCGGGATGCGGGGTCTGCTCGTGCAGATATTCTGGCTCCGACCCGTAATTTGGCGGTTATTTTGCGGGCCGGGGCATTTTGCGGGGTCTGCTAGAGTTGCTCTTACTTATTAGCCTTACTTTTTTTGAGACAACTGGGCCATTCTATTCTAGTGTCATATGCCTTGCGATGTTTAACTTTATCGTTTTTAATTCAATTATGCATAATGTGATGTTTAAGTATGAACTATCCATTTCAATTTCATCAATACCAATTTCACTGACTATATTTTGGTTTTTAATTCATAGTTAACATATTTGCCTTGTTTATTTCAGTTATGCACAATGTGAAGTTCAATTATGCAGTGTGATGTTCAAGCATGAACTGTGCAGTTCATTTCACCAATACCGGATACAATTGCTATGTTTGGTTGTTGTTAAGCCTGTTGTAGTAAACACATCTACCCATTTTTGACTTTGTTACTTTACTACCGTGTTAACTCTTCGCAATGAAGCCATCAATGTGAGCTGTTGTTCTTTAACATAGCTATGTTTGGTGGATGTTAATCATGTTATAGTTAACATACCTTTCCATCTACTTACACAGAGCCACAATGGGCGATGTTGTTGTTTACCATCGAGGTTAGTTGCATCTATGTATTATATCACATCATTATGCAATTGCAGTTTAGCTTATAACATTTAATTGTTGCTTGTAGGCACATATGCTAGAGGCATAGATCCACACTTCGGGCATTTTTACGTATGGGGTAATGAGATATTCATGAACTAGCATCAAGTGAGGAAACTAAGAAAGATTGTTAGAAGAAACAGACGGGTGATGGGAATTAAACTCTTTGTTTACGCTTTATCCAAGACAATAGTGAATTTTAGGATGGTAAGAAATTTGTTGCCTTATTTTTTTTGGCCGTAATGAACTATTAGACATAAATAACTGAATATTTTTTGTTTTCAATGGTTTTCAAAGAAAATTACTCAAGATTACCTCGCAAACTACATGATCGGTGCAGACGCAACAAAAATTAAAGTATATCATCTACACTACCATGATAATGGTCTAGAAGTCTTCCTAAAGGCGGTGAAGGATGGGTGAGCGGTCATCACAGGAGGTTGGACTAAAGTTGTGCGCGCCTTCAGCATTGAGTAGTGTACAATATGGGCATTCCGCTTCTTCACCTTCTCCAACACCCCAAATGATTTTTGCCTCTCTCTTTACTGTCTCTAATACTATTGTCGTTCATCATTATTATTCCATCGCTTAATTATGTAAATCTTGAACATATTGTACTACGATTTTGATTTCTGCATTTGGTTGTTTAACAATTGTAAATAGGGTATGTATGATGGATATGAAATATGTGAATGCCGCAATTTATAATTCAAATTTTGGAAAATTTCAATTCAAATTCTAGAGAATTATAAATTGTAGGGAATAAATTTTTGGGTAAAAAGTAGCTGTGCAATAGGTCATTATGGTCCACACAATTACTAGAATAAAACCATATGTAATGAAAATCTATAGCACATACATTTCGCTCACGAATAACTTGTGTGATTATCCACAAAAGAACATACGTTTCTGTCCCTTAAAACGAATGTGCTGACGACTCATCGGACATGGTGCACTATTGAAGAGAGTGTGTATGTGTGCTAGAAACATCTTCGCACACACCGGGGGTGATAGCAATAGCACCGCACACACTTTGTAGTTCTTCATATTGTGTGATATTGTTCGTATCGCAAACAGCGCGGCAGATTAAATGTTTGTGATAGATATATTTTACACACGCGCCACTGTAAGTGCATCTAGTGCCACCCCTAG